TACTTTGTATGATTGAAATCTTTGAAAATTTCTTAAGACTTGTTTTATAGCTTAACGTATGGTATATCTTGGGAATTATTCCAAGTGCGCTTAAAAAATGTACATTTTGCTGCTCTTTGGTGGAGTGTTCTGTATAAATTTGTTACAACTAATTGATCTATAGTGGTGTTTGAGATCTCTCTGTGTTTATCAGATTCTGTCTAGTCATTCTATCCATTATTGAAAATTTGTATTGACATCTACTATTATTGTGTTGCTATTTCTTCTTTCATTTCTGTCAGTTTGTTTCAATATTTTGGAGCTATGTTATTTGATGTATGCATGGTTATGGTTATTATGTCTACTTGGTGGATTGACATTTTCACAATATATAATGCTCTTCTTTGTCTCTTGTAATAGTTTTTGACTTATAAGTCAAAATATTAGTATAGCATCCCCAGCTCTACTTTGAATATTATTTGCATGGGATAGTTTCCCCCATCCTTTTATTTTCAACATATTTATGTCTTTAGACGTAAAATGAATCTCTTGTAGAGAGCATATATTTAGATCATGCTTATTTTTTAAATCCCATCTGCCAATATATACCTTTTGATCTAAGATTTTAATTCCTTTACATTTAATTACTGATGATATGTACTTACATTCACTATTAAGCCATTTTATTGTTTTCCGTATGTCTTAAAACTCTTGTTTTTGATTCCTCCCCTTCTGCCTTCTTTTGTGTTCAGTTGCTTTTTGGTTATGACACATTTTGATCCCCTTCTAATTTTTCTTTTGTGTGTATTCTATAGATATTTTTGTTTTGGTTAACTTACTGATTACATACAATGTTCTAAATTTATAAATATCTAATTTAACTTGATAGCAACTTAGTTCCATCACATTAAAAATCTGTACTTCTACAAAACGCTATTCTCCTGCCACACTTTATGTTATTGAAATTATAAATTATATCTTTATACATTGTATTCTGACAGATTTATAAATTTCTATGCATTTGTCTTTTAAATCTAGTAGAAAATACAATGTGGAGTTACAACCCAAAATTCCAATAATACTGAATCTTATAACTGTCCATGCATTTGCCTTTACTGGATATCTTTATATCTTCAAACGGATTCCAGTTATTGCCTAATGTTATTTCATTTCAGCCTGAAAGAGTCCCTTTAGCATTTCTTGTAGGGCAAGTCTAGTTATAATCAACTCTTTCAGATTTTGTTTATCTGAGAATATCTTAATTTTCTTTCAATTTTGTAGACACTTTTTCCAGCTATAGAACTTTTTGTTGAGTATTATTTTTTAGCCTGTTAATTATGTCATCCCACTTCCTTCTTCTTTTAAAATTTCTGCTGAAAACTTGTCTGACAATCTTATTGAAAATTCCTTATATGTGATAAGTCACTTCTCTCTTACTGCTTTAAGATTCTCTTTGTCTTTGGCTTGACAGTGTGATTAGAATTCATCTTGGTGTAAGTTTTATTGTGTTTATCTTGGAGTTAGTTGAGTTGTATGGATTTGCAGATTCATATATTGCATCAAATTTAGGCAGTTTTTAGCCTTTATTTCTTTCAGTAATCTGTCTGCCATTATCTATTTCTTTTCTTCTGAGACTTCTATGATTCATATGTTGATCTGCTTGATGATATCCAACAAGTCCCTTAGGCTTTGTTCACTTTTCCTAATTCTTTTTTTTCTCTGTTCCTCGGACTTGATAATTTTAATTGTCCTATCTTCAAGTTTACTAAATCTTTCTTCTGCCCTAAAATCTGTTACTGAATCCCTTAGTGAAAATTTCATTTAATTATACTGTTCTGCTCCAGAATTTGTTTGCTTTCTTTTTATAATTTCTATCTTTTTTGAAATTCTGATTTTGTTCCTATATCATTGTCCTGACTTCCTTTAGTGTCTGTGCATGTTTTTATTGAGCTCTTTTAGTATTTTTAATTTTTTTTTTTTTTTTTAGTGAGGTAACCCTTGGTTGACCTCACAGATTGCAAAGACATTGTCAGCTTACAATCCCTTATTTTTTAAAAAAAATTTTTATGCCTGCAGCACCTAGTCTTCCTAGGTGGTCTCTCATCCAAGTACTAACCAGGCCCGACCCTGCTTAGCTTCCAAGATCAGACAGGATTGGGCTTGTTCAGGGTAGCATGGCCATAGACTCCTTTAGCATTTTTAAGATAGTTGTTTTAAGTTCATTATCCAGTGAATCAGATGTCTAAGCTTACTCAGGGACAAATAGTTTCCATCAATTTACTTTTTATCTTTAAATAGGCCATATTTTCTTGTTTCTTTGTATGCCTTGTTACTTTTCATTGTAATTTGGGCATTTACTTATTTATTTTTGTTCTTAATTTTTCACATGATTTTTACTGAGAACTTATTTTGGAACCTGTGGAATAAACCACTTAGCATGATGTGTCATGTAAAAATACTCCCTAATAGTCCTTATATTTGCCTGTGACTTTTGTCCTTACTCATTCATATACTAAGTTTTGAAATCTGTGACTCTGCCCTCTGGGGTCAGAGATTATACAGGGTCTTTAAATTGAAAAAAAGCCACATGTGCAGTATCTGAGTCACCAAAGGCCATTAATGGACCAGAGACACAAAACTTACCCTTACCTCTGTAGTTTAAAGGTAATGGAATAAATAATTGTATATTTAGTATATTAAAATGTTAATAGGATTATATGATTTAATGCACATATAATGATTAGTTCATACCTGATAAAAATAAAGCCTTCGAAATTGTTTGCTACTATTTGTATTACCATAGTCAACATCATCACCATCATTAATATCTGTAATGGACATGTTATAAGGTTACAGATAAAGAAATAATAGAAGAGGTAATAATTAACTTATCATGGTCAGTGTGATATTTGCTCAAGATCAGTGTGATATTTGCTCAAGATCACCCAAGGACAGAAACCCTGAGCAGAGTGATTACTCATCACTTTCTCTACCTAAACTTTAATACTTTAAAACAAATATTATGAAGAGGTAAGACTTTGGTAAATATGTTTGTCATCTGCTGTGTGCAGTAGTCTCTTGTCTAGTCTGTTATAGCTAAAGACAAAGATTTGATTTTACTTCCGCAATAGACATGCTCCATGAATAAGAGTAGATCAGATGGTGAGAGAGAGAGGGAGGAAGGAAGGGAGGAAGGAGAGAGAGACAGACAGAGAATGAATATCAAAGCTAGTAATTGACTGTATAACAGTGCAGGTACAGTCATTATGTATTATAGTCTTCTCTTCCAGATAGTCTACCATGTTCCAGCTCTTATTTTTTTGTTTGGAAGATATAGCCAGTTTTCCTAGATAAAAAAAATCCTTCTTGGATTACATATCTTGGAAGCGACTTACCTACAAACATGCCCTTATAGCTCGAAAGATGCTTGCACTGCATCTAACATAAAACAAGCTACAACATAGAAAACAAGAACATTTCTCTCAATTTCACCCCAACCTGAATAGTAAACTAAAATTAACCCCCTGTTACTGCATTCACCGGTAATATCATAACAGGCCCTTCAAATGCTGTTTACAAATCTTAGAGTCAGGAATACTTGGAATATTCGATATTCTAGATTATCCTCATTTCTGTTTTAATACTATTATGATTCCACAGAGGATGATCTATTCTTAACATTCTGTAACCTAAAATAAAATATGTTATATATTGACGAAGCAAAAATAATTAAGGTTGTAAAGATATAAATCAACAGTGTTTATTTAATAAAGGAAAAAAAGAACTGGAAGAAGGCAATCTTTTTGTTGTAAATACCTCAATAGTAAGCAAGAAAATGTTTTTTGAAATACATTTTAAGTCCATTACCCTCATTTCTTAAATAATCATAAGACTTTAATTGGTACTTTTGACTGCCTTTTTTCATTACTCTTTCTGTGTTTCTCTTCCTTCCAACTAGCGCTTTAACTAAAAAAAAGATTCCTTATGGGGAGTCAATAACTAGTCATCCTCTAATGTGGCCCTCATCTTTAAACTGGTGGATGTAGGAGCAGTGATAGCACAATAAATATAACACAGATTTGGAGAAAGGTAGTCTGCTTTCAGGTATAGTCTCAGTAATTATATGATAGATATAATTCAATATCTGTTTTGTGGTGAGTGCCCTAGAATGCATATTTTTCTGGTGTTATGTGATTAGACATTCAAAATACATCAGTGATTATCCATAGCTAGTAGCTGTTTTTCATAAGAGGCAAATCTAAGGAGACTCCGTGGAAATTATGCATTGAGGACACAACTTCCTGACCTGTCACAGACACTTTCAGAGGCTTCGAGTTGACAGAGAAGATAGTCATAGTAGTGGAATAGTCAGCTACTAACAGATCAGTGAAGACCCTCTGGAGAGATTTTTCTTGTTCTCAATCTCACTTAAAGAGATCCTCTCTCCTGGTTATATGAGAAGTATATCAGAAAAGCCTGAGCAATGTAGTATTGGTAGCTTAAAAATAGACAACCTCACAAAATGTTCTTAGTTAAAGGAAGTTCCTTAGAGGAAGGACACTTATCAGGGCACATATTTTTCTCATTCTCATGAGACTACTTAGACATGTATCTGACTACATCATCTCAAGAAACTTTATCCACAGAATTTATCTATTTCCTGTCTCTTGTTTTGTTTATTAAGGCTTCTAGAGCATTTTGGAGAACTGTCTGTTCTTTAAGACTGACCAAATGTTGCTGTTGATGTATCTGACATTTTAGGGAAAGTTAGCATTGTTGAAATCCAAGTGGATCGGTACTTAACTCAGAGTTTAAGGCATTATTCACTCTTTTTTCAGCTCATCCACTGCTGGAGGTATTAGTTTAAATCTCGGCTTTGCCATTTGCTGTGAAATGTATTCAACGAGTTTTCATATGCCTCATTTGAAAAACAAGGATAATACATTTAATATTTTACAAGACCATTGGGAAATATGTTAGAAAGTACTAAGTAAAATATACATAAGAAAATATAAAAGTAAGTGTTTTCATTTTCAGTAACTAGAATTAAATTCCATCAACAATCATCAGAATGTTTTGAAGTTGCATGCCCAGAAAACTGGATTGGTTTCCAAAGAAAGCGTTTCTATTTTTCTTATGATATGAAGAATTAGACATTCAGCAAGAGATTTTGTGACTCACTAGATGCTGATCTGGTTCAGGTTGAAACCATCCAGGAACTGGTAAGAAAATAGTTCTGGCTAGAATTTAAAAAAAAAAATTGATCCTACCAAAACATGGTGTCATTTTGTGTGAGTGGGTCTAAGATAAGGTTTTGAACCTACCTAGACATTAACTTTTCAGCATAAAGAGAGAGGAAACCAGCAGGTGCTGTATTCTAAAGTAGGTCATCTACAATTACCTTAACATTCATAGCAGTGCCTTCTTTGACTTATGAGTAAGAACTGTGCATATAGGAATGAGAATATTAGAGGTAGAAACATAATTTTAAATTCATATGAAATTAATAACATCACTTCAAAATAAATCATGCAGGAACAATGTCAGAGAAGATAGTAGAATAAGCAGCCCCTGGTATCTGTACCTCCACATAAACAACTATTGAACTGGCAGAAACTCTCTAAGGTAACTAATTTGGAACTCTGGAGGCTAATTGAACACTTGCAGCATCCTAAGGAGAGTTCGATAAGTAAGTTGCTAAATTTCAGTTAATCTTAGTGAATTTCAGCCTTCCCACTCAGTAGTAGCTGTCATTCCCCCCACATCACCATGGCAGGGAGCCATAGGGACTGCTATCCATGTTCAGCATAACATGTTGCTTCACATTGCTGGAGTCAGGGTGGGCAAAGACCTTGTTTTCCAAATATTGGGGTTATATGCTGTTACTTCTGATTACTGAGGGGCAGACACAGAGGCGGGCTGACACTTTTTTTTTTCAAACTTCACCAACTGAAATGGCTTTCAGGGGATTTAAAGAAATGGTACTTGTTTTATTTCTCCCTTTTGGGAGTCAGGTATTTAACAAAATCTTTGGCTGGTAACTGACTAACTATAGAGATAACAGAATAGAAATTTCAGTGACTTCACACAACAGAGAATACATATTTTGCAAAAATTGTTTGAAAAGGTCACAAACAGATGGCTTCAAACAATCAAAATTCAACAATCCCTAAAGAGCAAGAGAATTAGATTCTCAAAGTTATCACAACAAAACACTCATACTGTCTAGTTGTCAACAAAAAATTATAAAACGTACAAAGAATAAGAATGGACAGCGCATTCATAGGGAAAAAAATCTGACAGAAACCACTCTTGAGGGAACCCAGACATTGGAATTATTAGTCAGAGATGTAAAATCTGTTGTCTTAAATATGTTCAGTAAGCTAAAGGAAACTATAGACAAAAAACTGACCAACATATGCATTATTGGAATACCGGAAGGAAAAGAGAAAAAGAGAGTAGAAAAAATATTTGAAGAAATAATAGCTGAAAACCTCCCATGTATAAGAAAAAAGATAAATATACATGTCCAAGAGGACCGATGAACTCCAAACAAGATAAACACAAAGAGAACCAAATCAAGACAAATTATAGTCAAGTTGTTAAAGTCCAAAAAGAGAAGTTTGAAGGTAGCAAGAGAGAAACAACTAGTTATGTGCATGGGATCCTTAATAAGATTAACAGCTGATTTATCCCGAGATACAAAGGAAGCCAGAAAGCTGTGGAATGACATGTTTAAAGTTCTGAAAGCAAAAATATGACCAATCAAGAATTCTTTATCTGACGGAGATCATTTTGAGGGTTACCAGATAGGAGGAGATTCGGGATGGGTAGGTGAAAGAAGAGAAGAGATTAAGTAGTACAAATTGGTAGTTAAAAAATAGTTACAGAAATGTAAACTATAGCATAAGGAATATAGTCGATAATATTGTAATAACTGTACAGTGTCAGATGGGTACTAGATTTATTCGATGATCACTTTATAAGTTATATAAATGTCTAATCACTATGTTGTACATCTGAAACTAACATAATATTGGATGCCAACTATAACTGAAAAGTAAAAATATTTAAAAATTTTTGTATCTGGCAAATATTGAAAAAGTAAAAATATTTTTAAAATTCTGTATCTGGCAAAACTATCTTCCAGAATGAAAAAGAAATTAAGATGTTTCTAGATAATCAGCAACTCAGGTAAGTTTTTTTACCAGTAGATACATGCTACAAGTAATAATAAATGCTGAAATTAAAGTACTTAGACAGTAACTCAGCCAAAAGAATAAAGGACACTTATGCAGAACAATCATATGATTTAACAGGCAAATTCACTTAAAAACTAATTATAAATCTATGTTAGTGGACATACAGTGCATAAATGTGTGATCTGACAATAATATAAAGAGAGAAGGTTGGAAACATATAGGAGGAAATGTATACTGTTGAAACCAAGTTCATATTATAAACTAGGTTATTATGACTTTAAGATGTTAGTTGCAATCCCCAATGTATCCATTAATAAAATTACTAAAAAATATACAGAAAAAAGGGAATTAAAATTATAAAAAGTCAGTTAAATACAAAAGAATCCAATAACAGCTGAAGTGAAGAATAAAAAAACATATTAGACATATAGAAAACAAGTGGACGAATGGCAGAAATAAGTTCTTTATCTGAAATCACATTAAATGTAAAATATGAAACTATCCTATTAAAAGACAAGGACTGGCAGATTGATCAGGAAAAAAAATAGCATTCATCTATATACTCTCTACAAGAGGCTCATCTTAAATATAAAGACACAAAGAAGTTAAAAATGAAAAGATGGCAACAGATATTTCACGCAAATGGTAACCAAAAGAGAGCTGGCTGGTTATATTCTTGTCAGACAAAATAGACTAAAGGAAAAAAAACTTTACAAGAGACATGGAAAGAAGTTTATGTAAAATTAAATTAACTCTGGCAGTGAGCTGCATTTTTTTTTCTAAGTGGGAAATGAGTTATATAATACAAAATTAAAAAGAAAATTACAAGCACAGTTAAGAATATAGCATAGAAGCACTACTTCTTTTGAGAGAGGTTGGGTAATGACAGATTAATGAATATCATCTCTGTGTTTTCCGAAAGGATTTCCTCTTGAGGTATAAAGGCCCCTCTGACCCTGAAAATGGATAAATGGCACTGAATGGATCAGAAAGTAAGTTTTAAAAAATATAGCAGCAATATTTATATTTGAATTTACTTTGCATAAAACTCAAAGTGTTCTTCAGTTATATGCTCTAAAAGTTATTCTAAGATTAGTTGTTAAAGAAGACAGTGCCAATCTGTATGTTGCAAAGTTTCTGCAAGCTCTTTGAATCAATCCAAAGTCTATCATAGGTGGCATGGTGAGGGAGAATGACCGTGAACCTGATTCCAGGCCTCATCTATGTCACTTACCAACTCCTTCACTTTGAGAGAACTGCACAACATACATATGTCTGTTTCTTACCTCTCGGCAAAAATCAAGTGTGTTCACCCTATTGATCTCACAGGGTTGATGTTAAGATCAGAGGTTTTGACGTATGTGAGTGTACTTTTTAAACTGAAAAATATTATATAAATGCAAGATAAATTATTATATAAAACTACCACGGCATCAATGTTCAGCTGTTTATAGAAGGATTATGAGAGATAGTAATAAAGTCTATTAAATAAGATCATAGTTACATTTAGGACAAGTAAAGTTTATTAATATTAAATTTAATCTCAACTGTATATTTATAGAATCTTTATATTACTGAAACAATTTTGGATGATGCTGGAAAACTTGGATTCAGAAAATTTCACAAAATATTTGCTTGCCTGAGGAGATAAGGAGGTTTTGAAAAACTGTTCTATGATGATAAAGTAGTCAACACGGGAAATATAACTATTTATTTACTGAGAAGGGCACTGTATTGGATGTTAGTAGGTTTGAAAACTAGTTCTTATTAGCTTTTTGATCTTGGACAGATGGTAAGTTTTAGAAATCAAAGAGAACTTATATTTATACACTGTCATCTCTGCAATGCTTAATATATTGTAGATGTTTGTCAAATATTCAAATTAACCTCTAATTTTTCCTTTACAATACTAAAACAGTAATATTTACTCTGTCTCATTCTCAAGATGTTTTAAGGGTCAAATATATTGTTAACTCTTCAGTTATTGAAACTGTTTATTATGATAGAAATGAAAAACATCAGTAAGGCCTAGCATGTTTCAACAGTATCAAGTATACTTACCCCTTCTCTCACAAGAAGATCATATCAGACTATAGAGATTTCATGATAAAGAGGAGACATTTATAATCTGAATGCTGACTCAAATGTTTGTGTCAAGCCATTTAAATTCAGTGGAATAGCACTGTAATTCCAGTACTAAAACAATTAGGGAATTAGGAAAACTGTGATAACACGTGCGGTTTAGAAAAAGCTGCTGAGGTCTTCAGTTATTTAATGAAACAATATTGCTGAAAGTGGAGAGAAAATGGGCAGAATCTCTCCCACCAGCCAAGTGGGGCTTTGGATGTGGTTACGCTTATGGACGTAAGATAGGTTTGATTCACTGTCCCTGTAGCTGGTCTATTGAATCCCCAGCTAATGAAAGTCTATTAGCTACTCAGTGATCAATACATAAGTCAGGAGAAAATCAGGGCCTACAAACAACACTAACAAAATTACCTGTAACATAGGAGCACTTTTTCACTCTTCTCTTTTACAAAGCGAAGAAGGTGGAAATAGACTAAACTGTGTTTCATTCATCTAGGCATGAATCTTAGTTTTATTTGTTATAAGAACATGGGAAATTCAGTTTATTTAGGTATAAAAAGGAATCAAAATATGTATCTTGCAGGGTAATTTTTAATATTAAAAAGGTGGCATGTATAATGCATCTTACATTTAGAGGATAACTGATTTTGCTTCTTCCATTGTAGTTTTTCTATCAGAGGAAGAAGAGACTGTGCCTATGTGAGTGACAAAGGTGTCCGCCCTACACAGAGAAGAAGTGGATTTGTTCCAAACCAGACATATATGCCCAGAGGAGGATGCAAAGCCTTACCTGATCTTCAGATATACACTGGATGTATCTGATTATCTTTCTAAATAAAAGACTTAGTTTTCTTTTAAATATTTAATATAATTGCTTTGTTTGCAATTCAGTGTTTTCATTTTACTGAGATTTCTAGGAATATAATCCTGAATGCCAGCTGAAAGTTTGTTTTAGTTATTGTTTTTTAATAAAAAAATTGATTCTCATTTATTGACATACGAGGTAAAAATCAAGATGGTGTATGGCGGACTCTTGCATTTTCTTAAAAATTAATTTTCTTTTCTTTTTTTTTTTTGTATTAACATCTGGTCACAGATAATGATTCACTTAAAAAAACATTTTAATTAGATAACCTTATGTCAAACATGGCCAAGGCAATCCAATTTTCCCGTAAGCCCAATGTGACAGTTTCTCCACACATTCACTTTATAAAAATATGGTTTTTAGCCTTGAGATCTGATATTTCATGCAAGTGAGTCAACATTATATTAGCTTATGAAAGCTCTATTTTAGCTCTATTCTATTTGTTGAAAACTAATAATAGAAGCAAAATCATTTTGGGCTTCAGATCTTAGCCTACTACTGAAGAAATTATGGAACTTTTTGTGACTGGTAGTTAATTATATAGTTCATGAGCCACAGATTTAGTTACCACTTCCTACCTGTACATACTCTGTTCAACAGAAGTGGACAGAGTGGCTGCCTCCCCTTCTCTTCAGTATCCCCCAGATTATAGAAAATTCCTATTTTCACCAATGACCTTAAGTTGTGAAGATGTGTTACTGTTTGAAGGAGTCAAATAAATATTTACATTAGTCTACCTTCAACATTATTAATCAAACGGTAGAGACTTGCAAAGAAACCATACCACATGTGGGTGCCAAGAAGCCTAAATTAAGCATTGGCAAGACTGCAGGCTTGTAGGTAAGCCTGCTGCATGAAAAAACTCAGGCCATCCTGAAATTGCCTCACCAGGAAGCCATTTCATCCCAGGAAATGAGTTTATAGTCAAAAATTAGCAAATGTATGAGGAAGATCACAACATTAAAGAAAGTTTGCAATTTCCATCAATAAAATAAATTAGCACCTGAGGAAATAGAGCTAATAGAATAATTTTAAAAATAAACAAAACAGCCTCGTCGCCTCAAAAAAAAAAACCTTAAAAATATTTATATTTATTATTCTTGAGGAGATAAAGAAGTTCGACACAAAATAGGCAAACACAGTAGAAAAAGAATCTAATTATAATCTTGAAAACAACAAAACGTTATTGTTGAAATATACTCAATAGAAAAACTAAGTATAAAAACCCAGCTGACAAAACGTTAAGTTAGCAGATTGGGTGGACCATATCACTGAGAATGCAGAAGAAAGAGTATGAAGTGTTGACAAATATAAAAAAACGAAGAGAATGGGTGATTGAAGAAACTCGAACATTCCTTTTTCAGGAGTGCCAGAAGGGCATAATAAAGAAAGTAGAGAAGAGGAAACATCTGAAGAACTTACAAAGTACATGTAATACCATTGTTGGACTTAAACCATGGGGGGTTTTTGGCCAGTGTGGAGGACACCATACTACAAGGACAGGAAATATATTTGTTGTGACCTCAGAAGTTTATTTGAGAAAAGAGACAAAAGAAAAATAATGAAAGAAGAAAAAATGCATATAATGGTTGGTCGTAATTTCTGCTGTAAAATCTACTGTTATGTGTAAACTGAAACATGGTGAAATAATAACTTCTTTTCATAGTAGGGACCTCAATGTAGAAACTGAATAAAACAGTATGTAGAATAGAATGAAAAATCATCAGCTTTCTCCTACACAATGTTGGTTACCAAGAAAAGAGATAGTTCTTATGGTTTTACTAGTTTGGAAACATGCAGTTTTATTTTTTTATGGTTGACTATAATGGTAGAGTAAGGGAAGGAGCTACTAGCAAAGATCTTGGGTAATCCTTAATAAACTTGAAATACTGCCTTATTAGCATCTGTAAACAATAGATATAATACCCAAATAATAAAAATAGTGAAAATCACATTTAAACTAAAACTGGACTTTTAGTATTATATGTGGTATGTCTAAGTCATTTGTATCACCACTGGATTCAGGTGATATGGAAGACTAGATGTCCTTAACCTTTTATCTCATAAATAAAATGTTTTCTTTTCAAAGAAGTTTTCTCTCTATTAGAGGGCAGTTACTCTGAGTCTGTGCCAGGTATCAGTTTAGTTTGTCTTAGCTGTAATCCATGCTTTTGTTATCTGTTCTTCATTAATGGGCCATACTCAGCTTTTTTCTTTGCAGTGAGCTGATGTTAAGCTTATGACTAGAGGACACTGCAGGAGGAATTGGCTTCTGATGTTGTGTTTTGTTTTTTTCCTCTTTTTGCTCTTGCTATATCATGGTATGAAATTGATGTGAAAAATCATGCTAAACCTTTAATAACCCTGTGGCAACAAGCAGAAACACATGCCAACTATCATGGAGTTGGAATATTATTTATCCATAAAAAAGAATGGAGTACTAATACATGCTACAATGTGGATAAATCCTGAAAACATTATACTAAGTGAAAGAAGCCACACACAAAATGGTCACATATTGTATGATTCTATATATATGAAATATCCAGAATAGGTTAAAAACATAGACAGATGAGACTGGGTGTAATAGAAGAGATAGACAGTTGATATGGGCTGGGTGTGAGGGTGGAGAATGAGAAGCAACAGTTTCATGGGTATGTGGTTTTCTCTTGAGATGATAAAAATGTTTTCAACCTACATAGAAGTGGCAGCTGCATAACATTGTGAATATATCAGATACCACTGAATTATTCACTTTAAAAGAGTTAATTTTACTCTATGACAATTTTACCTAAATTACAAAAAAATATTTTCTGGAGTGACACTCCATAGTGTGGAAAAATCCACACTAAAGGTGAGTTCACAATAAAAAAAAATTTAAAAAAAGCACCATCAGGGAGCGTCAACAGGAGTAACCAACGGAAGGAGTCTAAACAGGAGAGCCCAAGACCACATAAGTAACACCTAAAACAGTGTATTACAAAATGATGAAAATCATAAGTAAAGAACAAGACTATTAAACAAAAAAAAAATTAAAAAAATAACTAAATAGAACTTTTGGAAATAAAAATATATAATAGTTACAAATTTTTAATGAATTAATAAACAACTAATTAAATTAAACTGAAGAAATAATGTACTGGAACTTAAAGCAAAGGATAATTAAGAGATTAAAAACTATGTAAGACACTAAAACAACTTGGATGATGGGAAGAGAAGAAGCTAAATTAAATCATCAGCATTTCTGACAGTGTATCTGAGCAATTTTCTGGCAGTTTTTTTAAAGAAAAAAATCATATAATATTTTTTCTAATTGACCCCTATGATGCCTAGGAGATGATATTCAGTTATACCTCATCTAATAGACCTATGGAGTTAAAAAGCCTTCAGAATATATTGGATTTCCTGAAAAAAAAAAAAAAAGGAAAAAGGAAGATAATCCTGCTGTGGGGCAGGAAGGCAGGGAATTTTGTGTCAGGAAAATATGGGTATAAAGTTCTTTGGAAGTTCACTTGACTTCCTTCTCCCTGAAAAAAAAAAAACAAAACACTTCCAAACTTGCTTTACCGTTTTCTTTCATTATAATAAAACAGTAGCTACTCAGAAGCTGCCTCTGGGTGATTAGACAGAAAGTTTCCACTACTCAGAGAGGCCTCTTCCTCTTCCTCCACTCCCTCAACCACTCTCAAATTCTGTTTGCTGGTTAATTCCTACTTACTTTACATTCATCTCAGGCTCTACCTCCTCAGGCAAACTCATGCTGACTCTCTAGTGTAAGCAGTTTGAGTAGAGAGACCTGTCATTTGTTTAGCAGGAACCAAAAATAGCAACAAGCAAGTAACTGCTCTATGACTCAAAATACCCATTTTACAGTGGATTATTTTTCGTTTTTGTTATATCACAGTAAGAAATAGCACAGAAAAGTACTTTTCTAATTAGTTTAATAGACTACGGACATTTTCAGTCATGTATTCAAGTACTCATCAGTTCATTTGGATCTTGGATCGTGACCATCACAGCATATTTTACTTTACAAATTGTTTTTTCCTTCAGCCATGTTTCATCTTTCTTTGAAACCATTAGCATGTTTCTTGGACAGCACTGAGCTCCAGAGACCTCTGGTGGCAAAATGCAAGTAAGCAAATGAGAAGATTGTCAGCATGGTGTGCGTTGAACAAAATTGTGAAGAATGTTGCATACTTTTCTATTGCCTTTCAACATCATTCCTTCAGTGTTCTCTCCCCAAGTTCTAGTAACCTACTCTGAAACTCTGATGCTGCAGTTGTCTGCCTGGCCCACTCTTTTCAACAATATTGTGTATATCAGATTTTTCTCCGTCATTAGCCAGCTCATCCAAATTCACTTGTTTTATTCCCTGTTCCCTAAGAGCCTGGCTCTCTGGCGTGAATAAACCAATCAATGGTTTCAAACTGACTGATTTAACTCCTAAATAAGTTGACATAAAGCAAAGTCTAGAAAAAGAGATCTCTGATTAAAGATGAAAAGCTCTAATTGATGCAGGACAGGACAAAATTCCTACAGCTGGGGGTAGGTGGTGGTGGTGGGCGGCAGGGGGGATGACCAAGCCCTGCACCAAGAGAAGAGGGTCCTTTGGCAGAGTGTAGAAATTCAACACATAGGTCAAAGTTGAAGTCAAAAGGAAAGTTTATTAGAAAAGGGGTAACATTCTACAGACAGAGTGAGGTCTCCTCTGAGGCAGAGAGTGAGAGGAACAGTGAGAGGAACCCCGAGTGTTCAGGGTTCCCATTTCCTTTGGACAAGCAATGAGGAAGAGGAAGAGTATGTAGCATGAAAAAGTAAGACTATGTAGCCTGAAAGGCCTGCTGGCAGTTCCCAGCCTTTAATCCATAGGTTCCCCATGGTTTTAGCCATAGGGAATGACTCCATTGGTTCCTGTTTCCCCTTCAGGAGTGTGGGGAATGGGTTGTTAGCAATCCCAGTAGAAACCTTCCTTTGTTCTGAAGGTCTCCTTCTGGCCTGGCTTCAGGGCTGATCCTTCATCTCTGAATGTGACTTGATTAACATTTTAATTCTCTTGCTTCCTCCCTGCAATATATGCTTGCCCTGTAACCATTACAATGATCAGATAGTCTTATGCTTTTTCGTAAC